AAATACAGGGCAATCTTAGAAGAAAACCTGTTCGAGTCTGCAAAAGACTTGAGACTGGGCGGAGGTTCACCTTCCAGCAGGACAACGGCCCTAAACATACAGCCTGAGCTACAATGGAATGGTTTAGATCAAATCATATTCATGTGTTAGAATGGTCCAGTCAAAGTCAAGACCTAAATCCAATTTAGAATCTGTGGCAAGACTTGAAAATTGCTGTTCACAGACGCTCTCCATCCAATCTGACAGAGCTTGAGCTATTTTGCAAAGAAGAATGGGCAAAAATGTCCCTCTTTAGATGTACAAAGCTGGGAGAGACATCCCCAAAAAGACTTGCAGCTGGAATTGCAGCGAAAGGTGATTCTACAAAGTATTGAAAACCATTTATCATTTTCCTTCCACTTCACAATTATGTGCCACTTTGTGTTGGTCTATCACATAAAATCCCAATAAAATACATTTACATTTTTGGTTGTAACATGACAAAATGTGCAAAAATTTCAAGGTATGAATACTTTTTCAAGGCATTGTACATTCACCCCCTCAGGGCCCGAGCACCTAGAGCAGCCTTTTTCAACCAGAATGCCCAGGCTTCTTCAGGGGCGCCTTGACAAAATGCCTTAAAATTGCCCAAAAATTGTATACAAGCCAGCAGGTGTATCAATCCTGTCTTTTATTTCCACGTAAACCACAGGTTGTCATTGTGCACCATTACAACTTTCTAGCGGCCAGTGACATATCAACCAATGATGTCATAAGTTGATAAGGACATCAGTCCCCCGCACATCCTTGCTTGCCCCTTCCCTGCCCCTCTTGGTGAGCACTGGGGTCACACTAGCTGAGTGAGAGAAACTGAGGGAGAAAAGAAACAATAGAATACTAGTCAGTATCAATGTGCAAAAGTGTTTTTGCTTTGGAAGTATAAATCACCTCTAATATTGGTTGTCCTACATGAGCAAATGTTGCTCCTTTCTGTAAAACTATTTGTTTAGTTTTTTACATTTTGTAATGGATGCCACAAAATTGTGCAGAATTTTAAAGGGTGCCTCAATTGGAGCAGAGCAGGCGGCTGAGCCATCCATGTCCGCTCAGTTATTGCAGAGCAGACATGGACAGAGCCTGTTCTGTCCGGGTGAATGCATTGTCCAATCAGGTTTTGGACAGGAGGACCTGATTGGACCCTTCATGTGAAAGGGGCCTAAGGGGACAGGTGCCTGTTGCATTGACATCTGTTGTTAGTATACTAAGGCTAGTCAATTCAGATAGACCGGCATTACATGACCGTTCACCAACAACAGATTTCCCTTGCACATAAGTGTGATAGCTCCATACAGGTATAGAAGGTACTCCTCTGATCTCCTGAGTGCAGGAGGGGGAGAAGTGAGATGCAGGTGCCCAGGGTGTGATGTGGTCATGGTCGGGAGGAGGACATCACGTGGTAGGTTGCACCCTCTGTGATCTCCATTTTTTTCTCTAGTTCCTGGATGCAAATGCCCCCGCTGGATGATCTTTCTGCAAGTGAGAGAGACAGAGTCCTCTACAGTGTTCAAGAAGATACTAGAGTTGGCTGGGTGCTTCAGCCTAATACAGCAACAAAAGTAAGACATGTGGAAGATGGTGGAGCTTTTAAGGAGGGGGGAGGTGAACCCCTAAACTCCGCACGTAGAGCACTCCTGAATGCTGTAGTCTGTGTGCAGAGCACCACTGAACTCTGCGCTTTGTATGTATCAAACCCCTGAACTCTGTATGTATTGCATCCCTGAACTCTGCACTTTGTATTGCACCCCTGAACTCAGCATGTATGCACCCCTGAACTCTGTACTCTGTATGTATCGCACCCCTGAACTCTGCACTATGTATGTATCGCACCCCTGAACTCTGTACTCTGTATGTATCGCACCCTTGAACTCTGCACTCTGCATGTATCGCACCCCTGAACTCTGCATGTATGCACCCCTGAACTCTGTACTCTGTATGTATCGCACCCCTGAACTCTGCACTATGTATGTATCGCACCCCTGAACTCTGTACTCTGTATGTATCGCACCCCTGAACTCTGCACTCTGTATGTATCGCACCCCTGAACTCTGTATGTATCACACCCCTGAACTCTGCACTATGTATGTATTGCACCCCTGAACTCTGCACTATGTATGTATCGCACCCCTGAACTCTGCACTATGTATGTAGCACACCCCTGAACTCTGCACTATGTATGTATCGCACCCCTGAACTCTATGTATCACACCCCTGAACTCTGCACTATGTATGTATCGCACCCCTGAACTCTGCACTTTGTATTGCACCCCTGAACTCTGCACTCTGTATGTATCGCACCCCTGAACTCTGCACTGTATGTATCGCACCCCTGAGCTCTGCATGTATTGCACTCCTGGTATTTATAGCCCCTATAAGACCCTCCCACTGTTTGTGGAATTTGGCCACACCTATTATTTGATGCGGTTTGACGGTTGTACATGTGGGGAAGGGGGGGCGCAGCTGTGCAGCATAATGAGTTCCTGCACCTATTCTCTGAAAAGTAAGGCCTCATTCACATGGGACTACCAATCTGTATGCCTGTATAAAGGGCTGTTTTCAGCCACCCAAGATGCACAGGTGTTCCATGTAGGGCATTCAAGCAGCCTGTTGTGATAAATGTCAGGCGGCTGTCTGCATGGATTCCAATCTGCATCCTGGAGTGCAGATCTGATACATGGATCAGGACACAGACAGACTGGGGCAGAAAAACATTTAATATTTAATGACTTTTATTATTTATTGATTTCAATAATAGCTGGAATTTGTCTAACAGGAAGAGAAGATTCGGCAAAAAGACGATTGAATTTGGCAGAAACAAAGGAACGTTTTCCATGAAGAGGCATCATTTATGGCAGGTGCACACAGCTTTTTTTTTTTTTTTTCTTTTTCATTCAATCCAGCAGGCTGAACGAGAAAAGAAAACTGAGATTGCTGTACTAACATAAATGATGGTAGTGCAGCAATCTTTCCCACCATCTTTGTGTTCTGACAGGGGGACTGCCCCGCCAGAACACACTGGTCAGCGATCGCAACAATTGGCAAGGTGCGCAAATCGGATTCTGATCGGCTGCTGGTTCTCCAGCATGCCCATTCGGCAGAAGTCGGTCCTTAGAACAGCTTCTGTCGGATGGACAGCTGTACACATGATCCGAATGTCAGCCGGTTCCTGCTAGACCGGCTGCTGTTTGGACCATGTTTAGGCAGACTGGCAACTCACTAGATCTGGGTGTTGGATGTTTGGATTTAATCTAATGGCTAACAGTCCCATTTTTAACAAAGATCTCTACTTTTTATTAATAAAAAGCGGTCTTTGAGCTCATGTCAAATCACAATGTGAGAGGCTGCAGCAGGGGCTGATCTGTGTCAGACATGAGCATCCAGGAAGTAGATTCTCACCTTGGATGGAGCCTGAGCAAAGATGACTGTTTAAACGTTACTTTGTATAGCCTTTGTGCGCAAAAGGTACAATTTCTTTGTTCTCTAAGAATACACGATTTGTTAGAATTTTCTGCTAAAGTAGGCGCTTCTGTTACTGCTGGCTCATGTATAATTCTGATCTGCTCTGAGCTACAAATGTTTGCGGGCAATCAGAGGAATCTGTGGGAGTGGCAGGGTGCTTAACTAGGAGCAACTGCAGAAGCTGGCCAAAAGCCAAGCAGGGACTAGCCCTGGAAAGCCATCGGACAGGGGATTACAAATGTCTCTCCTACAAAAAGGTTAGCTGCAGTGTCTATATTTGTAGATGGAGCATGACATAAGTGATGGTTCTCAATACATGGCCAAGTAATATGCATAGTACAAAGGGACTACAAGTATAAGTTCTGTGTGCTTGCTTGTCTACAGATTCCAAAAGTGTCCTGTTTTGGCTCTGTCATCTCCTTCTTTCCCAAATGTTGGAAGTAGGAAATGCAGGAATAGCAATTCTGAATTATAAAAAGCCTTTTGGGCATCCCTTGACTGACGTGAACGTCAGGTGCATCTTAAAGTGGACCTTCACTTACTTTTTCTACTTCCATCCTTCTTCCTTCCATTCAGAAAATTCTTTTTTTTTTCCTTTTTTTTAGAGGAGAGTAGCCTGCACATCTAACTTTCTCACCTCGGCAAGGCCAAAGCCTCCTGGGCTACCCATGTCATGCATTCCAGTAGATTTAGGGGCTATGTAGAACACACTGTGCATACGCAGTGGAGCATCTTCTTCAGGGGGCCTGCTGCTGGGAACAGAGAAAGACAGTCTCCTGATGATGTCAGCAAAGAAGATGGTGGCATGGGACCCAGCATGCAGTGACTTATTGGATCACAGCAGGGCAATACTGGATATGCTTGGTTGGTGAATGCAATTTCATTTCAACCCAGCGTAAAGGGTAGAAGGGTGTTAAGAAAAAAAAAAAAAAAAAGATTCTATATAAGCTCAGATACACTATATTGGCAAAAGTATTGGAACGCCTGCCTTTACACGTACATGAACTTTAATGGCATCCCAGTCTTTGTCTGTAGGGTTCAATATTGAGTTGGCCCGTCCTTTGCAGCTATAACAGCTTCAACTCTTCTGGGAAGGCCATCCACAAGGTTTAGGAGTGTTTATGGGAATGTTTGACCATTCTTCCAGAAGCACATTTGTGAGGTCAGGCACTGATGTTGGATGAGAAGGCCTGGCTCACAGTCTCCCCCCTAATTCATCCCAAAGGTGTTCTGTCGGGTTGAGGTCAGGACTCTGTGCAGGACAGTCAAGTTCCTCCACCCAAAACTCGCTCATCCATGTCTTTATGGACCTTGCTTTGTGCACTGGTGCGCAGTCATGTTGAAACAGGAAGGGACCATCCCCAAACTGTTCCCACAAAGTTGGGAGCATGAAATTGTCCAAAACGTCTTAGTATGCTGACACCTTAAGAGTTCCCTTCACTGGAACTAGGGGGCCAAGCCCAACCCCTGAAAAACAATCGCACACCATAATCCACCCCCCCATCAAACTTTACACTTGGCACAATGTGGTCAGGCAAGTACCGTTCTCCTGGCTACCGCCAAACCCAGACACGTCCATTGGATTGCAAGACAGAGAAGTGTGATTTGTCACTCCAGAGAACATGTTTCCACTGCTCCAGTGGCTGCATGCTTTACACCACTGCATCCAATGCTTTGCATTGCACTTGGTGATGTAAGGCTTGGATGCAGCTGCTCAGCCATGGAAACCCATTCCATGAAGCTCTCTACGCACTGTTGTGCTAATCTGAAGGCCACACCTAGTTTGGAGCTATTGACTCTGCAGACAGTTGGCAACTTCTGCGCACTGTGCGCTTCAGCATACACTGACCCCGCTCTGTCATTTTACATGGCCTACCACTTGGTGGCTGAGTTGCTGTTGTTCCCAGTTGCTTCCATTTTGTTATAATACCACTAACAGTTGACCGTGGAATATTTAGTAGCAAGGACATTTTTAGGGATGGACTTATTGCACAGGTGGCAACTTATCACTGTACCACGCTTGAATTCACTGAGCTCCTGAGAGCGACCCATTCTTTCCCAAATGTCCCAGTACTTTTGGCAATATAGTGTATCTTCAGATATCCACTTCAGTGGGAATCTAAGGTCCTGGGGCTCCAGCACATGCCCCATGCTGAGACAAGGCCCAAGAGTTCCTTCTAGGTGCACATCCTCTCCAGCAAAAGTCCTAGTGGGACAGAACACTCTGGAAAGGTCACCCAACTATTAGACGTGCAAATTTTTGTTTCATTTCCTTTTGGATGCATTTGTTCAGGGAAGAATTTTGTTTCATCATATTTGTTAAGTTAAACCAATTTGTTTCGTATATTTGGCATTTGTGTCAAATATTTGTTAGTCCCCCGTGGATTTGAAAAATTATTGCAGTTTCTCTAGAAGATTGCTATTAATTCAATATTTTATCGAACCAGACGGATTCATTATTTTTGGAGGCTAATCCAACCCACCAAGAAAAATGACATGAGTTGATTGGATAATATCAACATGTGCATCTGATTTCACGAATGGAACAAAAATTCAGATCCATTCGTTATCGGAGTCAGAATTATCAAAAAAATGTGAAAATTGAATTGATTTCCCCATAAGCCTGAGCTGCTATTGCATCCTGTGACATCATCCAAATGAAACAAATGCATGTGGTATTTCGTTACAACTTTTCTCGGATTTGTTGACATTTTTGTTACCATGTCCATTCGGAGATTCGTATACATTCGAATCTTCGAAAACAAAATTTTTGACGGAAAAACTAATTGTAATGAAATGCACGTGTCTACCAAATATTTATCATCTTCATAAAGCATAAAGGACCACAAGGATTGTTGGGTCAGATATATATTCAGTTCAGAACTCACTGATTGCCCTTCCCACTCTAATTACTGGCACCTCTTAAGTAAGGCCAGCCATAGATGGATCGAAATTCGACCAAATTTCAGTTAATCTATGGGCAGACTGTTTTTTTGTTTTGTTTTTTTGTTTTGTTTTGTTTAGCCAGCAGCAGTGATCATTTTATTCTGCCAGCAGGGAAAGCTTCCAATTTCACAATACAATAGCTCAGCAGGAGAGATTCCCTGAACAACACTGACTGTGTTGATGGGAAAATCGAGCAATTTTCTTTCCTTCAACCCGAAAAGAAAATTGCATAATATATGGCCTGCCTAACAGGCAGAAGCAATCAACCCATTGAGCTCAGGGAAACCAGCAGAGCCTAGAAAAATGTAACAAAACTTGAGCTGGACACAGCCAATCTGCAAAATACATGAAATGTAATTAGGGACACAATATTGTGGGCAGGGTTCCTACACACGGGTAACATTAGCCTCTCACCAGATGATTTTGCCTGCTTCTTGGTGTTGATTTTGTATGCAGTCGGTGTTGTGAGAAGGTTTTTTTTTTTTTTAACTAAGCTGTTCAGTAATTTCCTCAAAATGTGATGCAGACAGATTTTTCAACAGAATGCAATTAGACAGAGTCCCCATGGTCCTGTGATGTTGAAAATAGACGATTCATGTGACAGGATCACAGAACATCTTGTTTCCATAGCACGATATTCCACAATAGCCTGCAGCGTTTTTTGTTCTCTGCAAATCACTTTCCACCCTCCTCTGATCTATTGGAAGAAGCCATTGAAAAGAGTGTGAAGGAGTTTCGGGTTAAAGTGACACGTCATTAAAAATGATAAGCACAAATATCACACAAATTGCCCCCTTGGCCAGCTATCTTGTATCATGCTCCCTCATCCCCAGGTTTACTGGCTAGCCTCAAAGCGATAATAAACCGCAAGAAAGTAAAAAGAAAAAGTCCCCTGTAATGTGCTAGTATGCACTGCATACTAGCACACAGGGCTGCTGTTAGAAACCATGGGGCCCCATACAGCCAACCTGACAGGGCCCCCCCCATACAGCCAACCTGACAGGCCCCCCCCCCCAAAAAAAAACAACAGTTTACTATACTTAAGCTATAAATGAACACAGTGAGTGAACGGTACCAATCACTCATTGTGTTCGTTCAGGAAAGGAAGGTGCGGATAAATATGACATATTTACCAGACCCTTCCCCCACTCTCCATTCTGAAGGATCCAGTTGTGTGCTTGCAGCCACCTGTGGAAAGGAGAGGAGGGAAGCCTGCAGCGCTGTGGGGGCACACAGGGGGGGTCTGGGCAGCAGGGGAAGCTTATGGTGCACAGGGAGGGTGATTGATGTGGAGAGGGGGGCAATTACTGGAACTGATCCCCTGTATGGCACTCTCTGCAGTAGTTGAAAGCCAGCGGGAGGGAGAGAAGAAGCCAGCTTTCAGCTGCTGAAGAGCGAGAAATACAGGGGATCGGTTCCAGTAATTGTCCCCCCTGCCATGCCAATTACACTCCCTGTCCACATCTGATTCACACAGCTGCTTGGGCACCCTTGCTGACCTCGGCCCCGTACAGGGGGATTAGTGGCACCTCCTTATCCACAAGCTAGGGAGAAACCTAAACCAGGCTATAGAGTATACAATTTTCTTTCCATCCGTTATTCAGTGTTGATGGGGGAATCCCTCCCGCAGCACTATTGTGTTCTGCTGCCGGGGTGCCTTCCCTTCCCACAGAAAAGAATGATTAGTGTCACTAGCTATAGCCGGTGGCACTAATCATTTGGGGAAAACCAGACTGGTTGTACACAGGCTGATCAATAGATCGACTTGTGTACAACCAGGGTGCCCAAACATGGATCGAAATTCGGCCAGTCCCTGCTGAAGTGGCTGAATTTTGATCCATGTATGGCCTGCATAAATGTTGCATGGCTGATTTTTGGCAAGTTAGGGTGCACAGGCTTCCCATTCATTTTAAGGAGCTGCCTTAACTCAACGCATAATGCAATATAGCAAACAAATGTAAATGGACCTTAAACAAAAAATAGATTGAGATTTGTGATATATTGTTCTATGTTGGTTACTATTTAGAAAACATTACTGGACAACTATTCACAGAAAATATTCATTTTTTTACTGCTACAAAACTTGTTCCATTGAATATAATATATAATATGTGTTTTTTGCCTAAATGTGCTGTAATTTATATTCCATTGACCTTCATATTCATATACCGCTACAGAATGAATTGCAAAAAAAAAATGTACTGGAGAACCACCACTGGGCTGATAGCTTGTTCACATTGTGACTACCTCCAGTGATATATCCTCTTCCAAGTTCCCTGCAAATGATAGGTCTACAAGTTGTACGGATCTGAATGGCCAAGTTCTCAATGTCCCAGGAGTGGGCTCTGGAGCATGGTGACCCAAATGTTAGCTGCGGCTGTATGATTGCAGCTGCTGAACAGCTGTAGCACAATGTGGCACATAAGACTAGGTGCACACCTTTTGCATCTGTGTTTTCTGCATGTTTTTTATGCGTTTTTTTTTTTTATGTGCTGCTATTGAAGTCTATGGAACCAGAATCTGCACTGATGCATTAGACAGGTTTCAGTAGTATTTTCCCCAACAAGTGCAGTGAACAGGTGTGAACGGGTGTATCATCCAAGGAGGGTGGAGCCCACTGTGCTCTCAGGCACTGCACAACATATGGGTACAGTGGGTGGCATATAGTTGGATAATTAACGCCGTTCACTGAGCGCAGTCTGAGCTGCAACCATCCCTGTCTCTTACGGCAAGATTCTTACTGTATGTGCCGGGGATGGATGCTACTCAGCTAATGTAAATGTGTGGGCAGGGTGGGAGTCTGTAACTCTGTCTGCTACTCCTTTCTTCCAATCCCTCCACTGGCTTCCACTCGCCCAATTAATAAAATTCAAAATACTAACAACTTACAAAGCCATCCACAACTCTGCCCCCAGCTACATCACCAACCTGGTCTCAAAATATCAACCAAACTGCTGTCTTCAATCCTCCCAAGACCTTCTGCTCTCTAGTTCCTCGCCTCCAGGACTTCACGCCTTCATGCTCGCCTCCAGGACTTTTCCCGAGCTTCTCCCATCCTATGGAACTCCCTACCCCAATCTGTTTGTCTATCTCCTAATCTATCCACCTTTAGATGATCCCTGAAAACCTTTCTCTTTAAAGAAGCCTATCCTGCTTCTACCTTGTAAACTGCCTTTTATTTCCTCCATCAGCTCATCCCCCACTGCTATTACCTTTTGTATCACCCAACCCTTCATCCTAGATCAGGCATCACTAAATGGCGGTCCGCAAACGGACTGTATGAAAATCCTATACGGACTGCGGCTCCGACACTTAGCAGCCTGGATGTCCTCTGGAGCTGATATCTTCCCCCCCCGCTGCTGAGCTATCACTGCCGCCACAGCGCATTCATCTTTATAGAAGGCACGGCATGCCCAGCCAGCAGGCGGGAGCTATCCAACTTTTCATGTTAACAAGCGTCTGATTGGTTGCTAGGAATTTCCAGCAAGCAATCACCTGCCTGTTAACATGAAAAGCATGTCTCACATGTCCCGCCCTCTGTCCAGGCACACCATGCCTTCTGCCTGCTGTGTTAGGTAGGATCGAAAAGGAGGGTTGTGAATTGCAGGGGGTGGGGGGGATGTAAGGGAGGGGGGTATTCATATAAAGGGGACTTGGCTGCAAGGAAGGGGAGAGCTGTGAATGGGGTTTTAAATGGGACTGGGTGTGCAAGAGGGAACTGAGATACAAGTAAGGAGGGTCTGTAAAGGGCACTGGGTGCGTGGAAGGGGGGCTGTGAAGTGGACTGGAGTACAAGGAAGGGGGGTTGTAAAGGGGACTGGGGTGCAAGGAAGGGAGGAAATGTGAAGGAGACTGAGATGTAAGTAAGGAGGGGCTGTAAAGGGTACTGGGGTGCAAAAAAGGGGGGCTGTGAAGAGGACTTTGGTGCAAGGAAGGGGGGCTGAGATGTTCGGGGTTCAAGGAAGGGGGGCTGAGATGTAAGGTGGGCTGTAAAGGGGACTGGGATGCAAGAAAGGGGGGCTGTGAAAGGGACTTGGGTGTATGTAAGGGGGAGGCCTGTGTAGGGGACTGAGATGCAAGTAAGCTTGTAAACTAGACTGGGGTGCAAGGAAGGGGGGCTGTGAAGTGGACTGGGGAGCAAGGAAGGGGGTTGTAAAGGGGACTGGGGTGCAAGGGAGGAACTGTGAAGGAGACTGAGATGTAAGTAAGGAGGGTTGTAAAAGGGACTGGGGTGCAAAAATAGGAGCTGTGAAGAGAACTTTGGTGCAAGGAATTTGGGCTGTGAAGTGAACTGGGAGGCAAGGAAGGGGGGTTGTGAGAACTGGGGTGCAAGGAAGGGGGGCTGTAAAGGGGGCTGAGATGTAAATAAGGGGGGGCTGTAAAGGCTACTATAGTGCAAGAAAGGGGGGCTGTGAAGGGGACTGAGATGTAAGTAATGGGGGGCTGTAAAGGGGACTAGGGTGCAAAAAAGGGTGGCTGTGAAGGGGACTGGGATACAAGGAAGGTGGGGCTGTGAAGGGAACTGAGATGTAAGTAAGGGGGGGGGGGGGGGGGACCGGGACTGTAAAGGGGACCGGGGTGCAAGGAATGGGGGCTGTGATGGGGACTGAGATTTAGGTAAGGGGCTGTGATGTAAAGTGGTGACAGAGGACACTGATGTGAAGGGGATGGGAACTGTGATGTGAGGTGGGGGCTGAGGACACAGATGTTTAAGGTGGGGGGTTGTGATGTGAAGAGGCATTGTGATGTAAAAGTTACCCCTATAAAACTCTTCATATAAAGAGTACAGCATAGGGCGAGCACATGTATTAAAATATCAGATGGGCAACACATATGAGGTATCGTGGCAAACGTCAGAGTGAAAGCGATAATTCCAGGGCCATGGGTCAGGGATAATTCTGAATTGATCACCTGTAATGGCTCTTAGGGCTTGTTCACACCATGCTGCAGAGACAGTAGCCTTTCTGCACGCGTTCTGCAAGGCAACAACAAAATCAATGGTTCTCTATGTGCCCTGTTCACACCACAACACTAGTAGTACATGCAGATTTTTTCTGCAACACATATGAAGCTCATTGGTGTGCACATGAAAACTGATAGAAACTGATGTCTCTGCAAGTGAAATCTGTGTGTCAGTGTTCATCAAGTGTTCTGCACATATGGTGTGAACGAGGCCTTAAAGTGTCGCTTATGGAGAATTCTAGGTACGATAGTTTTTTTGCGATTCCACGTGTGCACAATATTAAGACTTGACATGTTTGGTATGTATTTACTTAGTGCCATGGGCGTAACTACCAGGGTTGCAAAGGTCGCACTTACGACCAGGCCTGCAATTCGGCCACTTTGTGTGTAGGGGGAGAAATATTCTCCATCCCGCACAGGACAGAAGGAATGTGCTGTGACTCCGTGGCCACCCGCGTCCTCCATCCCGCACACGACACATGGAATGTGCTATGACTCTGTGGCCACCCATGTCCTCCAAGCTGCACACGATGCAAGGAATGTGCTGTGACTCCGCGGCCACCTGAGTCCTCTATCCCGCACACGACGCAAGGAATGCGCTGTGACTCCGTGACCACCTGCGTACTCCATCCTGCACACGACGCAAGGAATGCGCTGTGACTCCGTGACCACCTGCGTACTCCATCCCGCACACGACGCAAGGAATGCGCTGTGACTCCGTGACCACCTGCGTACTCCATCCCACACACGATGCAGGGAATGCGCTGTGACTCCGTGACCACCTGCGTACTCCATCCCGCACACGACGCAAGGAATGCGCTGTGACTCCGTGACCACCTGCGTACTCCATCCCGCACACGACGCAAGGAATGCGCTGTGACTCCGTGACCACCTGCGTACTCCATCCCGCACACGACGCAAGGAATGCGCTGTGACTCCGTGACCACCTGCGTACTCCATCCCACACACGACTCAAGGAATGCGCTGTGACTCTGTGGCCACCCATGTCCTCCAAGCCACACACGATGCAGGGAATGCGCTGTGACTCCGCATCCTCCATCCCGCACAGGACACAAGGAATGCGCTGTGACTCCGCGTCCTCCATCCTGCACAGGACACAAGGAATGCGCTGTGACTCCGCGTCCTCCATCTCGCACACGACACAAGAAATGCGCTCTGACTCCGCGGCCACCCGTGTCTTCCATCCCGCACGCAACGCAAGGAATGCGCTGTGACTCTGCGAACACCCGCGTCCTCCATCCTGCACAAGACGCAAGAAATGCGCTGTAACTCTGCGTCCTCCATCCCCCACGCGACGCAAGGAATGCGCTGTGACTCCGCGGCCACCCGCGTCCTCCATCCCGCACGCGTCGCAAGGAATGCGCTGTGACTCCGCGTCCTCCATCCCGCACACGACACAAGAAATGCGCTATGACTTTGCGGCCATCCGCGTCCTCCATCCCTCACACTACACAAGGAATGCGCTGTGACTCCGTGACCACCTGCGTACTCCATCCCGCACACGACGCAAGGAATGCGCTGTGACTCCGTGACCACCTGCGTACTCCATCCCACACACTACGCAAGGAATGCGCTGTGACTCTGTGGCCACCCATGTCCTCCAAGCCACACACGATGCAGGAAATGCGCTGTGACTCCGCATCCTCCATCCCGCACAGGACACAAGGAATGCGCTGTGACTCCGCATCTTCCATCCCGCACAGGACACAAGGAATGCGCTGTGACTCCGCGGCCACCCGTGTCTTCCATCCCGCACGCAACGCAAGGAATGCGCTGTGACTCTGCGAACACCCGCGTCCTCCATCCTGCACAAGACGCAAGAAATGCGCTGTAACTCTGCGTCCTCCATCCCCCACGCGACGCAAGGAATGCGCTGTGACTCCGCGGTTACCCGCATTCTCCGTTCGCCATGCGATGCAAGGAATGCGCTGTGACTCCGCGTCCTCCATCCCGCACACGACACAAGAAATGCGCTATGACTTTGCGGCCATCCGCGTCCTCCATCCCGCACGCGTCGCAAGGAATGCGCTGTAACTCCGCGGCCATCCGTGCCCTCCATCCGCACACGACACAAGGAATGTTCGCCGTTCCCTCACCATTGATCCAGCTACACCAAATAAGGACAATCTTTCTCAGGCCGCTCTCACAAAGGTATTTAACCGGACCTGAGGAATCCGAAACACTAGGCGGGGTCGCCACGCCCATCTGTCATACACGCAAGTGCTGCGCCACATGACCCGCCTGCTCGCGCTTCCATTGGCTGTCTGCGATCCCAGGAGACAGCGGATCACGCCAGTCCTGGCAGCGGCTTCACCGCGTTGCCATGGTTTTCCTACTACGAGAAAGCCGGGACGTCCCGCTCACAATTTTAATTGGTGGAAAGTCCCGTCCAATCATGATGCTGTTGGTGACAGCCGAGCCCGCGAGTCTGGAGCCGCTTCCGTCGCTGATTGGATAAAAGTTTTTAGCCCGCTGGCGCCGTCGACCAACGAGAGGGATGGGTGGGGAAGTATAATAAAAACCCCTTTCAGGCAGAGCCGCCCAGCAGTCGCTGAGTAGCCCTTGAGGTGATTGGAGTTGAGGTAGTATTAGCAATACCATCATGTCTGGCACCGGTCCGGCTGTGGGCATTGACCTGGGCACTACCTACTCCTGTGTGGGGGTCTTCCAGCATGGCAAGGTGGAGATCATTGCCAATGACCAGGGCAACCGTACCACCCCCAGCTATGTGGCCTTCACAGACACCGAGCGGCTGATAGGTGATGCAGCCAAGAACCAGGTGGCCATGAACCCCAACAACACGGTCTTTGATGCCAAGCGACTGATTGGCCGGCGTTTCGATGACACCACTGTGCAGTCCGACATGAAGCACTGGCCCTTCACCGTGGTGAATGAATGTGGGAAGCCCAAGGTGAAGGTGGAGTACAAAGGTGAGATGAAGACCTTCTTCCCAGAGGAGATCTCATCCATGGTGCTGACCAAGATGAAGGAGATCGCCGAGGCTTACCTGGGCTGCCGGGTCCCCAGCGCCGTGGTCACCGTGCCTGCCTACTTCAACGACTCACAGCGGCAGGCCACCAAGGACGCGGGCACCATCTCCGGACTCAATGTGCTGCGCATCATCAACGAGCCCACCGCTGCTGCCATTGCCTATGGCTTGGACAAGAAGGGCACTGGCGAGCGAAATGTCCTCATCTTTGACCTGGGTGGTGGCACCTTCGACGTGTCTGTGCTCACCATTGACGATGGCATTTTTGAGGTGAAGTCCACGGCCGGAGATACACACCTGGGTGGCGAGGACTTCGACAACCGCATGGTCAACCATTTCGTGGATGAGTTCCGCCGCAAACACAAGAAGGACCTGAGCAGCAACAAGCGGGCCCTGCGCCGCCTCCGCACCGCCTGTGAGCGAGCCAAGCGCACTCTGTCCTCCAGCACCCAGGCCAGCATCGAGATTGACTCACTCTATGAGGGCACTGACTTCTACACATCCATCACCCGTGCCCGCTTCGAGGAGCTCAATGGTGACCTTTTCCGTGGTACGCTGGAGCCTGTGGAGAAGGCACTTCGAGACGCCAAGCTGGACAAGGCGCAGATCAACGAAATTGTCCTGGTTGGTGGCTCCACCCGTATCCCCAAGATCCAGAAGATGCTGCAGGACTTCTTCAATGGCAAGGAACTCAACAAGAGCATCAACCCAGATGAGGCGGTTGCATACGGAGCTGCGGTGCAGGCGGCCATCCTGATGGGGGACAAGTCGGAGACGGTGCAGGACCTGCTGCTGCTTGACGTGGCGCCGCTGTCGCTGGGCATCGAGACAGCTGGAGGGGTGATGACCGCGCTCATCAAAAGGAACACCACCATCCCCACCAAGCAGACCCAGACCTTCACCACCTACTCCGACAACCAGAACAGCGTGCTCATCCAGGTCTATGAGGGCGAGAGGTCCATGACCAAGGACAACAACCTGCTGGGGAAATTCGACCTCACCGGGATCCCCCCGGCACCCAGAGGGGTACCCCAGATTGAGGTAAAGGGATGGAGGGGAAAAGGCAGTACAGGGCGGGCTGGGTACACTGGTTCCTGCTGCATTGAAATGATTTGAATGAAAAATTACATACAGATCAATACAAATCAGAACACAGAGAGATCCATATAGATCAGGACAATGCACATACAAATCAGTGCAGTTCAGACCACATACAGAGATCAGAGCACATGCAGAGGAGTAAACACACTGGGGTTGATTTACTAACACTGGAGAGTGCAAAAACTGGTTCAGCTCTGCAAGATAGCCAATCAGCTTGCAACTTCAGATTGTTCAGTTAAGCTTTGGCAATAAAACCTGGTCGCTGATTGGTTTCTATGCAGAGCTGCACCAGATTTTGCTCTCTCCAGCTTTAGTAAATGAATCCCACAGTTTGGTGCCCATGCAGATCAATGCAGTGCAGCCTGCAGGAACTTGCTGTGACCTGCTTCTAGAGGTTATCTTGTGCATGCATTGGGCTGTGCCGCAGAGTGTAGCAGATTGCATGGCAATGTGACTGTGTGAACAAGCCCCACTTTGCCCATGCAGCCAACAATAATGATCAGTTTTTACTGAATTACAATGTTGGTAGGACAATACACTGCATGGTGCTGTGTGAAGAAGCCCCACTTGTCACCCATGTAGTGATCTCATCCATTAAAATGATCAGTTTTTTACTGAACCACAATTAGTAGGATGCCCTACTAGTTCATATTTGCTGCCAAAAGCTGGCTGGGAATGCTGTGTATACGGTCGGCATCTTTCAACCTACAATGGAGAAAAACTCTGAGTCTCATTTACTAAAGTGTGGAGTGAGCTTATGAGGACTTGGTGCAAGCATCCATAGTAGGAAAGAAGCTGCCTCTCTCTACAGTCAGATGTTTAAAGTCCGCTCAGGACGTATCAGCAAATCTTACCTCCAGATCACTCTACTTCACATGTAGTAAATCGGACTTAGTTTGGATTTTATTGTGGTTTTTATAGATCAGTGGTTCTCAACCTTCCTAATGCTGTGACCCTTTAATACAGTTCCTCATGTTATGGTGACCCCCAACCATAAAATTATTTACCCAGTAATTATAATTCATGAAGTGTCGTTTTACCTCCAATACTGCTGCTTTCAACACAGTAGCTGCTTTCTACACAGTAGCTGCTTTCTACACAGTAGCTGCTTTCAACACAGTAGCTGCTTTCTACACAGTAGCTGCTCATTACACATCGGAAATATGTGTTTTCCCCGATGGTCTTAGGCGACCCCTGTGAAAGGGTCATCCGACCCCCAAAGGGGTCGCGACCCACAGGTTGAGAACCACTGTCTTAGATTGTACATCCCTTGAGGGTTAGGGATTGATATGAATGTACAATCTCTCTCCCTCTCTGTGTGTGTGTGTGTGTGTAAAGCTCTGTGTAAGTTATAAGTACCATAAATAATTGTCAGTTGGTAAGGTGAGTATAACACGCAGGGGACCCTTTACAAAGACACGGTCGATTTCTGCATGCGTTTGCTGTGACTACAAGCAAATGGCGCCCAACCGCACACAGGATCAGCAGACTCTAAAGCTAAAATAGTGAAATGATGAGAATTGGCTTCAACTTTGTTCATCACCCATAGAAGAACTCCCTCCCCACCCATAGAAGAACCCCATGCCCCACCTATAGAAGAACCCCATGCCCCACCCATAGAAGAACCCCCTCCCCACCCATAGAAGAACCCCCTCTTCACCCATAGAGGAACCCCCTCCCCACCCAGTGCATTTCACATGTACGGCTTAATCATAGATGCTGTGATGAAAAATATAGCAGAATGCATAGCAATGTGTTGTGTGAATGAGCCCACTTGTTGCCCTTGCTGCAGTTTTTTGGTGATCTCAAGCACAACAATAATGAAATAGTTGTTGGTGTAGCACAATGTTGGTAGGAGGCCCTGATCTGTCACTTTAAACATCTAACCATGTGAAGAAACGGCGTATTTTCTTTGGATGATTGTAGTTGGTCCACCTCACCTCACTCTTTAGACCCTGTGTAGGATGAAAGAAGAAGCTGGGTTAGATGGTGTGCTTTGTCGTTTTGCTTCAGTTTTCATACCTCAGCAGGCTTTAGAGTTTTCAGTGATCATGTGGGAACACCATCATCCTCACCAAGTAGACACAGACCACTTCGCCTAGAGTTCAGCTCTAGTTTGGACAGTAACCCCACTGCATGCTGCCTGTCCTCTTAGAACACTCCAGGTAAAAAAATAGTATACATTCTTTTCTCTGTCTTTGGTGCTGTCATATGACATCACAGCTTCTCTTCTAGCGGTGGTCAGGTCTTGAATGTTGCTGAAAGCAGCACTCTAAGAGGAGATCTCACCAAACAGAAATGGTTTCCTGCTAGAACAGTTGTTTGCAGAACAAGTTCCCCTGTATTGAAAGATTTCTACCATCTCCTGTTTCTGTGCCAAGTCAAAATTGTTGAAATTCCACTTTCTGTACAGGAAAGATTGATCACCAAGGCCGCCTGTGAATCTTCCAAGCTGGGAAACAAGACAGCAATGAATACATGATAGTGGTTTAAACACCCACCTCTTGTACTGAGGCCCCATACTAACTGGACAATCAACTGTGGCCAGAAACGCCATCCCTGGATGTATGATGTCTATGTCCAGGGCATGTAACTACTCAAACAAGCAATTCTATATGAACAGAAGCAGAGACTTCCATTGATTTGTACAGAGTACAAATGTGGCCATGCAGTAGTTTGCACACAGTGGGGTTTATTTAATAAAGCTGGAGAGTGCAAAATCATGCTCGCTTCTGCATAGACCCCTTATTCCTAGGTTTCTGATCAGCTACACCATAAGTGTGAAACTGGCGGCCCTCCAGCTGTTGCCAAACTACAAGTCCCAGGAGGCATTGCAAGATTGACAGTTACAAGCATGACTCCCAAAGGCAGAGGCATGATGGGACTTGTAGTTTTGCAACAGCTGGAGGACCACCAGTTTAACACCTCTGAGCTACACAATACAGCACCAACAGAGCAAAGAGAAAAAGAAGCTTTGTCCATAGCTGTCACTTTTCCGGATTGAGTTCCAAATGAGTGCAACAATCAAACTGGATTGGTCATTCTGTTCATCCGCTCATGTTTGCCCCTGCTATAAATCAGGCCGAGGGTAGTTTTTATTAGTGCAGCAGATGTAAATGTTGGTTATAACCGTGTAGTGTATTTTCAGTGTACATAATAATACGCTGCCAAGAACAACTTGACATTTCACCCAGCCCTCTGACTGAAGCTAGCTTTACAAACAACAAAAAAGAAAAATTCCCAGCTCTAACTTGCCAGCTAGCCTGCAAAAAAAAACCAAATTAACCTGTCCAGCAGTATGCGTTAAAAACAGGGGTTTAGTTAGCACACATTTGCAAACACATGCGTAATCTACAGAGCCTCATCACGGCACCCCAGTATTCTGTAGTTCCTAACTCTTCACATTTTAAGAGCCCCCATAGTAGAGGTACATGTATTTAATGGATAGACCAAGGGCAGGTGGACCTGAGGGAGCCCACCCCTCCTTAAAAGTACAGGAGCGCACTGGACACCCAGCATGTAACACAATGGCAGCTAAAGTGTCCAGCGACCCCCTCGACCAACCAGTCAACAGTACAAAAAATGGCCACTGCCCCAGTCTATAACTGGCCTTCACAGCAAGGAGCACATGGAAGGGCGACGCATGTCAAACAACAAAAAAGAAAAATTCCCAGCTCACACTTGCCAGCTAGCCTGCAAACAAACCAAATTAACCTGTCTAGCAGTATGCAGTAAAAAACAGGGGTTTAGTTAGCACACATTTGCAAACACAGAGCCTCGTCACCCCGATATTCTGTAGTTCCCAACTCTTCAAATTTTAGGAGCTCCCATAGTAGAGGCACATGTATTTAATGGATAGACCAAGGGCAGATGGACCTGAGGGAGCCCACGGGGCAGTGGCCGTTTTTTGTACTGTTGAAGCTAGCTTTACACTGCAGTCCTCTTGTTGGGTTCCTACCCTTTTCCCCCTCTACCTCCCTCAGGGGTGTGGACATTTTTGAAAAACATATTTGTCCAAGGACTAAATTGGTGTCCCGATCTGCTTGTCCCTCTTGACAATCTACTTGCCTGATAGAAAAAGGGGGGAAAGGCTGGCACTGTGGGCTGTGTGGAAGCAATCGGGTGGCACCGCTGCTGTCCAAATGCTTCCACCTGACAGGTGAGCCCTGCTGCTTGCCCACAGCAGGGCTAAAGGCAAAAAAACCGACCTGCCTGGCACCCAGAACTGCATGTCCCTGCGATATGAATTGCACATCCCTGCTCCCTGAAAAAAAAATGATTGTTTTTAAGCTCTCCCTTCGGGACCTCATCTAAAGAACTATATACTCTTGGTTTATTATATTTGCAAATGGACCTTTTGGGGTTCTTTTTTTGTGTGTTATGGAGATGCAAACATCAGGATTGAAGAGGAACTAAACCCTTCCATCCTGTACAGCCAAGGAAGTTGCCATCTTGGCCTCTGTTTGATTTGCAGTGACCCATGGTGCTGCACGTCATTAGTTATGACACCAGCCTGTTGACACCAGGCCTGACATTTCGGTTGAGAGCCTGAAGGTAACTGTTTTGGGAAATGGTTAAAGTGACTCTAAGCTCTGGTTTAAAAAAAATTCTATTCAAAGTGAAACTATACTCACCTTGGCTCCAGCAATGCAGCGTCTGAGTTTCCCCCACAGCCACTCACATCTTTGGGTAGCTGGCTTCCAGGTCCCAATTGCCAGCCACTTTCATAGGCTGGGCGGGGATGACATCACTCCCAGGAGTTCAGTCAGATTTGACGTTCCGAATTTGTATGGAGAACTGCGCGTGCGTGGATCACTGTACAGCAGGTAAGGTAACTTTAATGCATTAAAATTCCTGCCTGTTCGCCCCCTTTTTTTAACTTAGATTTAAAGTTCCACTTTAAAGTTGAACTTTCTGTACAAGACAAAAATTGGCGGACAGGCAGGAATTTGAATGCAGAAGACACGCTTTGTCTCTTCTACATTATGACCTACCTGCCTGTCCGCCCCTGTACA